GATGGAAGGAGACCAGTTAGGGACACTGGTGACACTGGGGACACCAGGGGGGATGTGGGCATTGGGTTTCCCCCCAGAGGATGGAAGGACACCAGTTAGGGACAGTGGGGACACTGGGGACACCAGGGACTTTGGGAACACCAGGGACACTGGGGACACTGGGGACACTGGGGACACCAGGGGGGAAGTGGACATTAGGGTTTCCCCCCAGAGGATGGAAGGAGACCAGTTGGGGACACGGGGGACACTGGGGACACCAGGGAATTTGGGGACACCAGGGGGATGTGGGCATTGGGGTTTTCTCCCAGAGGATGGAAGGACACCAGTTAGGGACACTGGGGACACTGGGGACACCAGGGGGGATGTGGACATTAGGATTTCCCCCCAGAGGATGGAAGGACACCAGTTAGGGACACTGGGTGGACAGCAAAGAGGGGGGTTAGAGACACTGGGGACACCGGTGACACTGGGGACACCAGGAGGGGTGTGGACATTAGGGTTTTCTCCCAGAGGATGGAAGGACACCAGTTAGGGACACTGGGGACACTGGGGATACCAGGGACTCTGGGGACACCAGGGGGGATGTGGACATGAGGGTTTCACCCCAGAGGATGGAAGGTTGGGGGACACCAGTGGGCAGCAACAAGGGGGTTTAGGGACACTGGGGACACTGGGGACACCAGGGGGGATGTGGACATTGGGGTTTTCTCCCAGAGGATGGAAGGACACCAGTTAGGGACAGTGGGGACACGAGGGAGGATGGCGGACATGAGGGTCTTCCCCCAGAGGACAGGGGACACCGGTGGGAAGGAAAGAGGGATGTTGGGGACACTGGGGACACCAGGGAAGATGGGGGACATTAGGGTGTTCCCCCAGAGAACAGGGGACACCGGTGGACAGCAAAGATGTTGGGGACACTGGGGTCAACAGAGAGGATGGGGGACACGAGGGTCTTCCCCCAGAGGACAGGGGGACAGGAGGACACCAGGAGGACACTGGTGGGAAGGAAAGAGGGATGTTGGGGACACTGGGGTCACCAGGGAAGATGGGGGACATGAGGGTGTTCCCCCAGAGGACAGGGGACACCGGTGGGAAGGAAAGAGGGATGTTGGGGACACTGGGGTCACCAGGGAAGATGGGGGACATGAGGGTCTTCCCCCAGAGAATGAAGAAGGGGGGACACCGGTGGGCCGCAAAGAGGGGTGCTGGGGACACCAGGGAAGATGGGGGACATGAGGGTCTTCCCCCAGAGGACAGGGGACACCGGTGGGAAGGAAAGAGGGATGTTGGGGACACTGGGGTCACCAGGGATGATGGGGGACATGAAGGTCTTCCCCCAGGGGACACCAGTGGGAAGGAAAGATGGATGTTGGGGACACTGGGGACACCAGGGATGATGGGGGACATGAGGGTGTTCCCCCAGAGCATGAGGATGGGGGGACACCGGTGGGCAGCAAAGAGGGGTGTTGGGGACACCAGGGAAGATGGGGGACACGAGGGTCTTCCCCCAGAGGACAGGGGACACCGGGGGGAAGGAAAGAGGGACGTCAGGGACACTGGGGACACCAGGGATGATGAGGGACATGAGGGTCTTCCCCCAGAGGACAGGGGACACCAGTGGACAGCAAAGATGTTGGGGACACTTGGGTCAACAGAGAGGATGGGGGACACGGGGGTCTTCCCCCAGAGGACAGGGGGACAGGAGGACAGCAGGAGGAC